GCAGCCGCCAGGAGCCTCCGCGGGGGCCGGTGCAGAGGAGTCGCGCTCCAGGAGGGAGGGGAGGGAAAGAGGGAGGAGTGAGAAAAAGGAGGGGGGCAGGGGTCAGCCCGGGCTTTGGCGTGGAAGAGCCGGGAGCCCGCCTCCCTGGAAGTGGGGTCACTCGCACGCGTACCCACACCAGCTTGAACCTTTACTCCCGAGACCAGCGGGCTGCGATCGCCGATAGCGGCAATCTGCACTTTATACCCTATACCTTCCAGAGTGGGGCAACTTAAGTACAGAGATAACATCGTGGTTGTAAGCATTTTTCCCCATGTTGTTATTATTTCTATTTCAAGTGTGTGGGACGAGGGGAGAGGAAAGTTCTGGGTGGTGTACCTGGTTCCGCCCCTCCCTTTCCCCCCACCCCTCCCATCTGTTTTCCCTGCAGGCTCTCTCCCACCTCGCCTTCCCTCCCAGAGCGCAAACAGGCGCACACATCCCGGGTGTGCCCTCCTGTCACACCAGTGCCCTTCTGGAAGATAATGTGACCCCGACCCCGGAGCAGCTTGGCGACGTGCTCTTCCCTGACTCTGAAGCCAGAACTTGATCCAGTTCGCCAGTTCACGTGATGAAATTATACCTTCCTTCTGAATCTGAAGGTTTTTTTGGCAGGGAGTTTTCTTGATCACTCAAGCTCTCCCCGTCGCCTTTTGATTACATGTTTGTTTGGTGTTTTGTTTTTGTTTTGTTTTTTCTGAGGCTTACACTACGGTTTTCTAAATATATGTATACCCCACCGCATTATTTGCTGTGCTCTGGAGCTGTGAGACCTTCGTGTGGCTTTCTCCCTTTCCTCTTGCCCCCCGAGGAATTTCACTGGCAAATCCAGGAGGACAAGGGCAGTTTAGTGTTGAGGAATGGGAAGTACAGTGAGGGTCTATTCTCCACTGTGCTGGAGAATGTTAGAACCCAGCTCTCTTGGGTTTTAAGCCACGTGGTGGCAGTGGGGCTAATGTAACACCATTTGGCACTAGTATATACAAAAACATATAGAAATGAGGCCCGCGTAAACATGTCGAATGGGGCCATTAAATTTCAGAGGATGAGGAATGTAGTCCTGTTTGTTTTCGTGCTAACTGGAAAAAAATAAGAAAAAAAATACAAGGTACTTTTCATTAACATGTGCCATTTTATACAGGCCTTCAAAATAGCCCCACCAGGACGGATGGGGTTGGGGAAGAATTCCACAGGAAACGGGAAAATAGTTAAGTCATTGTTAAGTCACTATAACAATGGACTTTTTAAAAGTCAGTGAACTAGATGTTTATGTTCAGTTTAACAGCAAAGAAGATAAAATCAGAGATTTTCAAAGTCCATCCACTTCATTTAGTCCAGTTTCTTTGGAGAGGGGAGTTAGAAGGAACTGTGGGTTGCTAATTAATGGGTCCCAAAATTTGATGTATTGAGTCAAAGCTTCTGTTTTTTGAATGAAATAAAAATACCAGAGTACATTTCACATAGTAAGAGCATGATCTATAAATCTTTCATTTCAGTTAAATATGCATGCACTGGGTCAACCATGTAATATGTATTTTCTTACTGTTCCTTAAGGTAAAAACTTGAAAGCCATTGATGTAGTGCAGTCTGCTGCCCAGGGCCACCCAACTAGTTAGCGTTTGAGAGGGAACATACCATAGGTCCTTTTCCACCAATCCTGTGCTTGGTCAGCACCACCACACTGAATTGTAGAGAACAGGGAGGAGGTGTAAGGGGAGGAGGAAAAGAAAAATGATGTGCCTGAGCAGCTCCTAGGCCTCAGGTCTGGTGCTAAATGTGGGAATGAAATGGTGAACAAAATCAACCTGTGGTCTCTGCAGTTTAGAATCTACAGTCCAGTGGGGGAAAGAGACATCAAACAAATAAATACAAAAGAAACTATATATGTGATAAATGCTATGAAGGAAAATATGAGAGTTAAAAATACATGGTCATAATTTAGATATGGGAGGCTGCAATTAATAATTAACCCGATTTAAAGTTTCTTGAATGATAAGGACATTTATAGTTTCATATGGCTAGAAGTACCAAGGTCGAGAGGCTTTAGCTGGCAAACTCAGCAACTCAGTGATGTCAGGGAGGGCCCGAGCTGTTTCCGTTTTCCCCCCTCCCATCTCCCAGATTCCCAGGTTGGCTGGAACAGCCCCCCTTATGATAGCCAATCCTGCCAATGCCCAATGGTAGCAGAGTGTGTCTCTTTTCAAGAGTGAGGAAATCTATCCCATAAGCTCCCAGTAGATGCCTTCTCACTTGTCATTAGTCCAAACCAAGCCCCATGCCCATGCCTAAATGCTGGGAATGGAGGGGGGATTACCGTAATTGCCTAAATTCTTCAGCATTTGCCCCTGAACCCTTCAAGAGTTATCTGAGGAGCTGATACCCAAACAAAAGGAGATGGTGGGAATGGATGTTGGGTAGGCAATCCAGAGTCTGTAATGGAGGCTGAGGGATGTCTTCTCTGAAATATGACATTTAGATTTAAGATGAGTAAGATTCAACAAGGAGTGAGGAGGAAGCACCTTCAGGCAGAATTGGAATGGTATGTGTGTGTGTGTGTGTGGTCTGACTCTGCCACATGTTAAAGACATACATTCAATTTTTCATCTACCCTGTGGACCTGAAGTGGTAAATGTACCTCTGGAAGCAAGCTAAAGAGTTAAACAACCTGATCAAGTTCACAGAGCTAATAAGTGACAAAGCCAATCTACATAATTCTAGAGCCAGAAATTTTGACCTGCCTCTACAGAGACAGTGAGAAGCCCCAAATCCACTGGTCTTTCCTTGCCTTGCCATTGACTGAGGAACCAGCCCTCCTCCAGGCCCACTTTACAAGCTTTCTCTGGGCCCACAGGTAGTATGGACCTGTGTACATGAACAAACGCCCCCGGGATGTGCCTCAGCTCCACCGGGTGCCATGGTCTCTGCCAAGCACTGCCACTAGCGCACTAGGGTTCTTATGATGTCCAAGCTCAGACATAGCTTGTGGAAAAGGGGAGAGTAGCATGCCCATCTTCATGCTGCACAGACAAGTCCCCAGCAGCCTCAGTGTATTATAGATATCACTTGCATGGACCTGCATCCAAGGGATTGAGCTGGGACTAGGTTATAGGTATGCTTCCATGCTGAACTCAGACTCCCAAGCCCCTGGATGACTAAATTCTAGTTCAAGTTCATCCAGCCTGAATTCTGTTTGCTTGGGATGAATTCTCTCACAGAGGGCTGCCCTCACACACAGACTTCTGCTCAGCCACCTACCTCCTCACACCTGGCTTTGTGCTCACACTTGAACCCCAGATCAGAGTTTCCCAAGGGATAAGATGAGCAATCCCCCATGTGTCACCGAAAGGTTTCTGAGGCTATGAAAGGGACAAAACCATCCACCCGGTGGTTCTCACTCCAGTTTCTCACTATCTCTTTGTTTTTGCTTCCTTCCCTGATTTCTTCTTTCATTTGTCTTCTGACTTGCTTATCGTACCACATTGACCCTATGGGCAGCCATTTCTATCAATAGGGCTAGAAACTTAGGTCACTGTGCCCTTCTTTCATATACATTATTTTTCCATAACCCTAACTCAGGATAAATACCAGCATTTGCCTTTGGTGTTCCTGCCCTTCAAGTGCCGGCCTCACTCGGGAAGGCTATGAAACTGGGCCAATTGATTCCACCACATTTTTTCTGCTATCTAACCTCAATCCCTTTATTCACCTCAAAACCATTTATTTCTTTCATGAAGTCTCGCTGATTCTGCGGGATAGTGGTTCTCTGTGATCCCACAGCAGTGTGCCACTCCGGGTCACAAATGCTTATTAACTTCTCTATCCCCTTTTTGCACTTCAGAGCAGGGACTTTGTATTAATTCTTGTATCTTCAGAATATACATATCTCAGCTCTTTAAAAAACAATAAAAAATTCTGCTCTTCAATCTACTATCTCTATTTTCCTTAAAACAAAACAAGACAAAACAAAAATCCTATTTACCGAAATACTAGAAACTTGAGAGAGGACGCTATACTCGGTGTCTCTACTTCCTCTTAAGGGAGCTCATTACTAACATCACACAACTGTTCAGGCCCAGCTCTGGGAGCATCATTTTCCATTTTCCTGTCTCTAAGGGGACAATGGCCTCTCATTTGCCAAATCTCTCCCTAATCCCTGGTGGGAAGGAGGATGAGCCCATGAGCATTGACTCACAGCACATGTGGGGGATTTTCATAGCCCCTCCACGTAGTACCTAGAGCAGCGGTTCTCAACCTGTGGGTCACGACCCCTTCGGTGGTTGAATGACCTTTTCACAGGGGTTGCCTAAGACCACCCTGCATATCAGATATTTACATTACGATTCATAACAGTAGCAACATTACAGTTATGAAGTAGCAACGAAAATAATTTTATGGCTGGGTCACAACATGAGGAACTGTATTTAAAGGGCCAGAAGGTTGAGAACCACTGACCTACAGCCTATGTGTGTCCCCATTTTGAATTGACCAGTCTCTTGCCCATGCTCTCCTTAAGTGTCCTCCTTCCTCTACCCCCATTCTTACTCATTCTAAATTGTCCCAGGTTTCCTCTCTCC